TATGTGTAGATCATAAAACACGTTCTGTTAATTTTAGGGGAGGTTTTACAAAAAAATAAATAAATAAAATAAAATAAAAAATTTGCATTTATTTCATGCAGTAACGGAATAATTTGCCTTATGATTTGGTCATGTAAATTCAGATGGACAAACCAAAATATACCCTGGTCAATAAAAGGTTAAATAGATAAAGCACGACGATTCCTTTAAATAAAATGGACTGAAAAAATTACAGCCATGTATCGTTTTAGCGTGCAGAAATGATTAGACCTTCTCTGGAGGCCTAGAAATCTCTGAGGGTTCCTTTCTCTGTATTTGCACTGGGATTACATCACATATCTATTCATATTAAAGCAGATCAGTAAACAATGAATTTGTTTGCACTAATACATTAATTTGTGCAACGTTTTTTGCAACAAAGCCCGTTTAAGCAGAGCCGCATGCAGTATTAGTGCTGATTTATCACCCTTTCAGTAGATTCAAGTGTAACTTTAACACTTTTTTAAGTAATAGTTTGCTAAATTGCTTTGCTCTTAGTTTTCCTCTCCCCCTGAAAACCTCGTCTGACTCGTTCGCTGAAATGGTAAATGCGATATTTTCTTTAGGCTTTTAAACCTGTCTGAGGGAGTCGATACTCTAATTGCCTCTCGGAGGAGATGCTATGTGTTTTGGTGATAAGGAACAGGTTGATGGAGGGAATCCTTATTGAGCTCAGCTGGACGGAGGGTCCAAAGCAGCGCTGGAGCGGCCTTTTTATTTACTGCACTCTATTAAAAAGGACACTTTATGTATTTTAAAAATGAGCCGGGCCTCTCGCTGAGGGTGGCTTCTGGCCTGGGCTGATACGAACGCCTGCGACTGCGCAAGTTTCACCCTATTACGGTCCGGCGCAATGAAGAGGAAAGGAGAACATCACAGTCTCCATCAGCTCCTGGAGTGAGCTGCTTCCAGACGGTTCCCTGTTAGGACCCGAAATACAGGCCTAGAGCTTCTGCCGGGCAGAGCGCTGCAGCTCAAACAGCAAACGTGAGAGATGTTCAGTCCACATTTCTGTGCTTTATTGCCTTTATTAACCATCAGAGCAGCATAAACACGCGCTGCCACTCATAAATGATAAGAAAAGGTGTATATATAGACTGAGCACATCTGCTAACTGTTTAAATGAGCACACAGGGGACTTATCTTCCATATATCATCCTACATTCATGACAAAGACATGCACTTCTGAAGTTGTGGGAATGTAGCATTGGTAAACGACAAGGAGACAAAGTTAAAATACACCAAATAGGAGTTTTATTTGTGTTAAGTGTCGAATACGAATGGTGAGCAGAGTTTAGGGTCCATGAATGTGAGCAAAGCTCCACTGTCTGTTGAGCGGCAGTAGTCTAGGGGGCGCTCTCTTGCCCAGAACAGCAGAGGGGGGGTGTCATCAGAAAATTATATTTATTTAGTATTGGTGTATAAATGTATATATGTGTATATACACACACACATATATACCCTCAAATAAAAAGAGCATCACTTCATTAACAGCTACCAGCGCTGCTCTGTAGGCGACCCTGCCAGTCTGCAGTGACAGCAGAGGAGGGTAAAGTTCAGCTCCTCACTGCTGGGCTTTAGTTACATTTAGGGCATCATATGCCTTCAAAGAGGGGGGCAATTATTTATTATCACCCACCCCTAATTCTTCAGTGATATGAAGCTGAAGTCAGATATTCACCAGATTCTTGTTCGCATTTTCCCGTTCCACCTTAAATGCTGCAGCAGTTACATTCTGGTGCTTCAGGCGTCAGCACTGCTGGACTATTTAAGGTGGAACGGGAAAGTTAGCTAGCTAGCTACCGAGACATTAGCATGCTATTAGTGATTTTTAATGCTTGTTATGGAGAAAACGACCATAATACACTGAAACTACATTAAACTAAGATAATACAGTGGTTATTGTAATTTTTAATGGAGTAAATTCTCACATTTGTGGGTTTCTTTGGTCTCTGAAAATCCTCCGTTTGGAGGGTCACTTAGCTCTAACACTTCGCCCCACCCCTCTATCTCAACAAGAATCGGGACACCCTACCCCTAGACGTGAACGCACAAATCGGAGGGGTAGGGCTGAGTGGCAGGGGCGAGGGGTGAAATGGGACTGGGCCTAAATGTCGATGTGGAATTTAAATTATACTCTGTATATTTAAGTGATGATTAATCTTCATTCGTTCAAGCTGCAGTATGAAAGCTAAAGTATGTGCATGTTTTTAATATTTTAGGTCCAGAAGAGACTTTTAGAAGTCTGTTTAGCCTTTAAAGGACTGAGGTATGAACAGCACCATGTTATACGCAGAGTCCCGTCACCAAAGGTCACAGGTGCGCTATGTGCCGACACAACAGTATATAATAGTGCTTACAAAGTTCTGGTCAGACCGGGTCATTTCAGACCGATGGACCGTGAGCTCCTGAATACAGAGCTCATCACTGCAGTTCCCGTCTCCTGACTCTGGTTCAGAACAGGTTCTCCACAACAACTACATAAGCCTTTCATGACCGCGTGCACAAACCCACATAAACATCTATAAAGGCTTATTCCAACAAGCAGCAGCTCTCATTCTGTGAACTCTGATGTCAAGTTGACTCAACAGCGACATCAAGCGACAGGTTTTTGTTGACAGTAGGTTTTCAGAAATGACAGCGTTTCATTACAGCTGACTTTTACTGGCATTGTTTCCACCCCACAGTTCGACTCCGGTTTCCATTAGTGTCAAGTGTTCATGGAATTCTTAAAATACCATGTTGGACATTGTAATCCTGATGAAATTTCTAACCCAAGTTGTTCCTGAATACGACACAGAATGGCCTGAAACTTTCTGACATCAAGCTGTTCTCGCTGTTGAAGATTTTTAGCCACTTAGACCTCAATAAGACGCGTGTTCAGCACAATGTGATCTTATATCCAGCTTCAGTTTAGTTTTTATATAGTTTCAGTTTTAGTTTTTGGTCTTATGGTCAATATTGTGCCAGAAACTGAGACGTAATTCCAAACTTGAATCCTCCTTATTGACTGTTGCTATGCTAAATTAGCCCAACAGCAGACTGTGCTCAGCTTGGTGGTGCAAAGACACACCATCTCCTGAGAGTTTTTACAAGAAATCCACCTCTAGAGGTCCTTCATGCGCTACACACTAGGGGTGGGAAAAAAAATCGATTCTTAGATGCATCGCGATGCAGATGTGGACGATTCTGAATCGGTTCAAATGTTAAAAATCGATTTTCTAAATTTTAATTGATGATGAAATGGAACGAAATGCAAAAGTGCAGAAGTGCTGCGCTGGACAGTCTGTGGCGGCACACAACAAATACACAAATGGGTGAGAGAGAAATCTGACCGGCACTCTCCGCATTAAAAGCTAGATCAGGGGTCACAACCCAAATGTTAAGAAGAGCCATTTTGTCCTTTCAACAAATATCAAACCACCTCGGGAGCCGCAACATTTTATATCCATTTTCCCATCTTGGCTATAAATATGTCTCAGCATATGCTAAATGTACTAGTGTAGGCTAAAAACTATAATATAAACAAAAACACAGACTTACTTTGCTCTGCTTTAAGCTTTAGCTCAGCTATAGCTGCTTTTCTCGCATCTCCAGCAGGAAACTTTTCCACAAAAGTAGAACAGTTTCTTGTAAAATGTCTCTCAACGTTTTTTACTAGGCTGAAGTCGCTTCTTATTCACCAGCTTCTTGTTCAAACTGTCCCATTCCACCTTAAATGGTGCAGCTGTTACATTTAAGGTGGAACGGGACAATTCGAACAAGAAGCTGGTGAATGGGAAGCGACTTCAGCTTGGCAGCTTTTTTTTTTTTTAGTATTTAAAAGTTTCTTGTTACAGATTAAACGTAACAGGAAACCAGCTCAGTGCTTATAAATGCAAGTAAGTCCATTCATCTCCAAATTATCTGTGCTCGTTTTAAGTCCTTCTTTGTCTTGTCGTTAGTTACTAGCTAGGCGAGACTGTTGTCCTTGTTGCTGAGAAACCTGCAGTCTGCACGCCAATCTTCAGAGTTATAGGGGGGTAAATTAGCAGAGTTTAAGATCATTTATTGTTAAACTGTGTTGAACGATCATCAGAGCTTTATTTTACTGTAAAGGAGGATTATTTTATTATTACCTAAAATTCTACCTTATCTAATTCTGCTGTGGAGCCGCAACAGGGCAGTAAATGAGCAACACTATATGCAAGTTGTGTCACATGAAACTAAAATATTTTGGAACCGCGACAAATGTGAGAAACCATATTACGCTTCCACCTATTTTCCACCCGGTTGTAGCTGCTGCCAACCAGAGGACCATCAAGCAAGCGATGTCAGAGCTTCCACCCAACTCGGAAAGGGTGAAACGAACGACAAACTCTATCGCAACTTTTATTGTCAAAGGATCTGCGTCCGTACTCAGTCTTTGAGAACCAGGGCTTTCGCGCCATGTTGTGCACTTTGGAGCAGTGTTTGGATACAGCGTCCAGTCTCGAAGATATTTCACAGCAAGATGAATCGAGATGCATCGATAATCGTTTCATAATCGCATCGCAGCCTCTGAATCGCAATCGAATCAAATCGTGAGGTGCCCAGAGATTCCCACCCCTACCGCACACACAACACACGTATATCCCCTCTAGCTGATACTCGGCATTGTGACCTTAGGCTCATGTGCAGCTGCTCCAGAGCGTCTCATTCTACAGGTTTATAGGTTATGTGGTCTGTAGGCTTCTCTATGGAGATTAGACAAGCTGGCTGTGTAACTGAGCACCTTGCATCAGTAATGGGTGCAGATTCAAGTAGCTTAATCCACTAATCAGAAGGGCTGTCTGGACACTTTTGGACAGATGGTGGACCAAACTGTCTGGTAAGAAAGAAACTGATAAAAATGAGGACGCGTTCATGGAGAACATGAGCGCTAAAGGGGGAAGAAAGACGCCCTCAGTGTGGAACGGTGACTGATAGTGTGGGAGACTGACCTGGAGTGGAGTTCAGTGCTGCCGTTGTTGTATTTGCTCCCTCTTTCCCACATCCCAAAGTCCGGCACGCGATACGCCCTCTCCACGCAGAACACCAGGTTCTGGATAAAAGACACCTGCAACAACATGTACACCAGCGTCAGCGTCAGACTCTCTCTATTCCATTCACTCTATTCGTTTATTTACTTTTGTTTATTTGTTGATTCATTCTTTGGAGCGGAATACTCGAGTGTCTGTGTGCGTCACTGTCTGTTTAGATCAAACACTAAACATCTGTCATGACAATTAATGATTAAAAAACAAATAAGTTAATAAATTATTTTATTATTCAAATTCAGTGGTAGGCTGAAATACTGTAGGTAATACTGGAAGGTATTTTACTTTTTATTCAATATTTAAAGTTTTTTGGGAACTAAAAGGATAAACAATACACACACTGAAAAAAAGATGGTTCTTCAAGGGTTCTGTAATAAAGAAAATGGTTCTATATAGAACCATGAGCTCTCAAAGAACTCAAAAAAAAAAAATTAAAGGGCTCTTTGCTTCATGAAAACGCTCTTCATTATGATGGAGAATGTGCTGTAGATGGCTCTATATGGATTTCTATTAGAACATGAGGAAGAACCACTGAGAGGAACCAAGACTCAGAAGGAGAACCTTACTAAGAGCTTGAGAGAGAACCACTGAGAGGAACCAAGACTCAGAAGGAGAACCTTACTAAGAGCTTGAGAGAGAACCACTGAGAGGAACCAAGACTCAGAAGGAGAACTTTCCATAGAACATGAGGAAGAACCACTGAGAGGAAGGAACCAAGACTGAGAAGGAGAACCTTCCACAGAACATGAGGAAGAACTGCGACTGAGAAGGAGAACCTTCTTAAGAGCATGAGGAAGAACCACTGAGAGGAACCAAGACTCAGAAGGAGAACCTTCCCTAGATCATGAGGGAGAACCCTTTGCATCATTGAAAGGCCTTATGTAGAACATTTCTGAAAAGGGTTCTATATAGCACCAGAAAGGGTTCTTCTGTTGTTACAAGCTTGACATCGAAACACTAGCAGAACTCTTTTTGGTGCTATATAGAACCCTTTTCAAAAAGGTTCCATATAGAACCACCTACAGCACATTCTCCATCAATCTGAAGAACACTTTCATGATACAAAGAACCATTTGATCATGTAAAGGGTTGTGTGAGTGTCCCCAGCTCTATAGAGAACCATTTTCTTTACTAAAGAACCCTGAAGAACCATCTTTTTTTAAGATTGCGCTGTAATTCTTTATAATCTATTTATAACGTTCATAATTACTTCTAGTGATTTCTTAATAAGTTATTTTGGTAAGAACTAATTACATCAAACATGGAACATCTTTTAAAAGCTTCAGAGGTTCCACGTTTTATCTAGAACTGCTTTTTTCGATTGGATTAGACTTCAGAAACAGAACGATCTGATGCCTGATTTGCACTGTACTCTATTTTGCATTAGCCTGTACATTAACATTATTCCAGAGCGTATTCAGCATCCGCCTTATTTACCCTTAAGACTCAGTTGTGAATAATGATCTACAGCACTGTATCTCCCAGTAACTCTGGTAATTCATCACTCGTGTGGGTGGTACCGGTGCCGCTGGAAGCCCAAAGCATCAAGGGAGGGAACCCACCCCCACCGCCGTCGTGGAAACAGGCCACGGGAAAACAAGTGGCGCAAAGAATGATGACTTTGGGGGGCGAAAGTGGGGAAATGTGCACGCGCCAGGGGAGCAATGACTGACACGGGCTTTAATTTAACACGGAAAAAGCAGAGAGCCCCTAAAGCACGTTAAAATGGGGCAGAGAAGAAGAAAGGAGGGATGAGGAGAGATGGAGGAGGAGGAGGAATGTAGAGACTAGGGATGTTTTTATTTTAGGTTTGAATTCAATGATTAATGTGTGGAGTTCTACAGGATCTTAATGAACGCTCTGGCCCGAGGTGCCTCTATTTTCTGAATTCTCTCTCCTGGCCCGTCTAAAAGAGAGCAGCTTCACTGCAACTGCACACAAACACAAACACACAAACAAACACAAAACACACAAACAAACACAAACGAACACAAACAAAGCAACGGCAGTTTCCTTCTCTTCACTTCTCCCTCCATATTAAATAGTGCAGGTCTAAAGTTCAGACCCACCTCATTAAATGTGTTTCTCATATTTGTAAAGAGATTTTGATCTAAAAATGTACGAGTTTCTAAGATAATCATAAATAATAAAATTAATGACTGAATGGATTTTGGATATGTTTAAAAAAATTGGCCACTTTAATAGAAACACCCACTTTGTACTACCACTGACTGGCCACTTTATTAGAAACACCTACCCTTATTAGAAACAGCCACCTTGGACTTCCACTAAATGGCCACTTTATTAGAAACACCCACCTTGGACTCATACTTTACTGGAAACACCTACCTCGCACTTCCACTCACTGGCCACTTTATTAGAAACACCTACCTCGTACTTCCACTCACTGGCCACTTTATGAGAAACACTAATCTTGTACTTCCACTCACTGGCCACTTTATTAGAAACACCCATTTTGTACTTCCCCTCACTGGTCACTTTATTAGAAACACCCATCAACTGGCCACTTTATTAGAAACACCCACCAACTGGCCACTTTATTGGAAACACCTACCTTGGACTCCCACTAAATGTACTTCCACTAAATAGCCACTTTATTAGAAACACCCACCTTGGACTCCCACTAAATGTACTTCCACTCACTGGACACTTTATTAGAAACACCCATCTCGTACTTCCACTCACTGGCCACTTTATTAGAAACACCCATTTTGTATTTCCCCTCACTGGTCACTTTATTAGAAACACCCATCAACTGGCCACTTTATTAGAAACACCCACCAACTGGCCACTTTATTAGAAACACCTACCTCACACTTCAACTCACTACGGATGAGCTACAGTCTGCACACCAACAAGGTGGAGCTACAAGTGAGGGGTTTCTGATATAGCGGCCAGACTTCATCCAGGGAACTGTAAAGTCAATGTTTCTACAATAAGTTTCCAGAAAAAAAACTCATTACAAGCCACCGGGCAGGAATAACTAACTAAATCTCCCATTTCCTTTCCATTTGTTCTACTGCCTGTTAATAAATGCATGGACTGGTTTGCTGATTTAACATCCATGCTTTTAAACTGCGTTACGCAGCCCAGTGGGCACTGTTTAAACGCGCCAATTAAGGTTTGCCATGCAAAACAGCACAAAAGCTCAAATAAAAGCAACGCTGGCAATCTGTTAGTGTTCATAAGGCAGGCCGGGTCTGCGCGGTGATGCTGCCTGTACGGTAAACAAAGCTCATGTAAACAGTAATTGCCTCTCGAACCTAACGCTGAAGAGGAACTCTCGTTTTGAAGATAAAGCCAAACGCCACCGGATACATAAAAGTGGCAATTATTCTATGGACAACGTTTCCACACAGCAGCGGCGGTTCGAGCAAATCTCCCTGACTGCGCGCCGCGGGAATGAAAGATGGAATTAATGAAGTCCACGAGGGCCGCAGGGGGAAAAGAGCCAGAGATTAAACTTTTACAGCTACACATAACAAATCGGTGCGTGGACCCCTCCTGCAGCCCCCCCACCCACTTACTGATCTAATCTAACTGTGAAAACACACTCACAACAGCGCGGTCAAGTCAGGAGGGGAGGGAAGACGGTTTTGGGCCCAGAAGGGAATTTAAAATGAAAATGACAATATCTACTCAAACATAAGGAGTAAGAAGTTTAGAGACCTTCAACTCCCTCAGCAGATTATTTATGAGGCTCTGAAGTCTCTTCAGTGTTTCCTCTAGTTTTCACCCCAGCCTGGGAGGTCGAGGTGCACAACTGTGGTGAAAACATACAATAATAATGGGGTTAAATTAAAATTAAGCCTTATTTCTTCTGTTTATCGAGAGCTGTGGAGGTGCTCCCACACACAAACATACAAACAAATAATTATATATTTAATGTCTTTAAACGCTTCTTATGGTGATGCAAGTTTGTTGTAACAGTTCGCTGTGAAAGCACTATTCTGAGAGAACAGTCATCAAATTTAGAGCATTTTTACAGGTCAGTCGGTGAAGGACAGAGGAGTTTTGCATGTATATACAGGTAAATCTTGTTAAAAAGAACGATGTGCATTTTTTATGCATATATATTTGCATTTATATCTATGCGCATTTTATATCTTCAACACAGTGAGTGTCTAAGCTTTAATGGCCTCTTTCAGTTATTAAACTGTGCTGGTCTGGTTGCTCCATCTGAATGACTGGATGCGCCGCCTGACTTTTCAGACTAATTTCAAATTCAACAGGCATCCCTGAACTTGAGTTAATACTTACATTTATTTTACATAAATAAACATTATTATAATTATTCCACATTTTCAAGGTTCTCCTGACGTCCAGCTGACATGGTAAACTGAACCGTTCTGACCACTCAAACATTTGTTACTAAATTTGTGAAAGGGCTACTGACCTTGGCACTGCACCATGAAGGTCACTTTGGGCTCTTCTTTATAATGCAGTACCTTGGCCCCCCTTTTGTAAAAGAATGTCAAAATAAAAGTCCTTTGTTTGTGGTTGTGCTCCTTCCCGTTTGAGGAAGTAAAAACTTGCAGAAAAAAAGGTTTTCAGTGAGTTGAGCAAGTTTAAAGTTGGCTTATTTTACAATACAGGTTTGATTTTAAAGTTTACAAAAATAAAATCATGTGAAATGATTTTATTTAGAGTTTTGTATAACTAAATTACCTTTTATGATTAATAAACTTAATTGATTTTACTTAACACACATGGTTGGACGGTTGCACACCTGACATTTTTTAGAATTTCAGAGGCAAAAACAAACTAAAATAAACTTTTATATGCTGGAAAACTGAAAAATGTATCACATAAAAAGAGATATTTGATATATGTCAAATATGTATTCAATTTTTGGGTGGAAAAATAATGGACTTGGTAGGTATTGTGATATAAACCGAGTCTGTTCTACAGTTTCTCATTAGGCTGAATGAATAACCGACTCTAAATGTAGGTATTGTGATATAAACTGACTCTGTTCTACAGTTTCTCATTAGGCTGAATGAATAACCGACTCTAAATGTAGGTATTGTGATATAAACCGAGTCTGTTCTACAGTTTCTCATTAGGTTGAATGAATAACCGACTCTAAATGTAGGTATTGTGATATAAACTGAGTCTGTTCTACAGTTTCTCATTAGGCTGAATGAATACCCGACTCTAAATGTAGGTATTGTGATATAAACCGAGTCTGTTCTACAGTTTCTCATTAGGCTGAATGAATAACCGACTCTAAATGTAGGTATTGTGATATAAACTGAGTCTGTTCTACAGTTTCTCATTAGGCTGAATGAATAACCGACTCTAAATGTAGGTATTGTGATATAAACCAAGTCTGTCCTGGTGTTTCTCAACAGCAGCTCTGAAAGAGCACATTTGTGAGTAGAGCATAAACAGGTCAATTATTTAAAGTGGACCAAATGTACAGCAAAATGATAATCATGACTCCAGACTGTAGGTTAAATTACAGCGCAGCTTTACATCAGATATGATCTCGGCCGTGTATTCCCCCGGGTGGACACTTTAGGAACGAGCCTGTGGCCAAAACAGAGAGACGAGCCAGTGGCAGCGGACTGAAAGGCGACGTGTTGGCAGGAAAACATGCTTTGCTGGCACCAGTCGTGTCCCCGCTGACTATTCTTTTGCAGCTATTACGACAGCTGACAGTGTGTGACAATGGCTGGGCAGGAGCCCGCCGCCACCACCGCACCATTACCACACACACGCACTCGCACTCTGCTCCAATTTGTGCTGGAACGCCTGCGGGTCATCATTCTACGGACGGGGGCGTTTCTCCTGAGGTGGGAAAGAAAGAGCTCCATTCTGTTGAGTTCGATTTTTTTGTTCAGTACCTCATCAGTGTTGTAGATGATCTGGAGACCAGAACAAATCATCTCCACCAGGTAGAGGAGGAACAGAGACACGGCATCGATCTGCAAAAGAGAGAGAGAGAGAGTGAGAGAGAGGCGGCTGTTTAAGCTGACAGATGGCCGACATTCAAATTTACACAACGAGTTTTCTTCTTAAGTTTTACCACCAGAGCTCGTGTTATTAGCATGGCGCTAACTGCCAGTCTAAGGCCCAGTCCCATTCCTTATTTTTACCCCTACCCCTTGTTTTCGAGTGTTGTCCCCCTGGAACTGAGTTACAGGGTAGTGGTTGAAATCTTCCCTCTGAAATGGACCCTCAAATAAAAAGAGCATCACTTCATTAACAGCTACCAGCGCTGCTCTGTAGGCGACCCTGCCAGTCTGCAGTGACAGCAGAGGAGGGTAAAGTTCAGCTCCTCACTGCTGGGCTTTAGTTACATTTAGGGCATCATATGCTCTTCAAAGAGGGGGGCAATTATTTATTATCACCCACCCCTAATTCTTCAGTGATATGAAGCTGAAGTCAGATATTCTCCAGCTTCTCGTTCAATTTTTTTCCGTTCCACCTTAAACTGCTGCTCCATTAAAGGTGGAACAGGAAATTTAGCCTAGCTAGCTACCAAGATATCAGCAAACTACTAGTTATTTTTCTGCTTGTTATGAAGAAAAGGACCATAATACATACATACATACATACATACATACATAATCTAAACCGCTTATCCTTCTGGGTCGTGGTGGGGTAGGACCATAATACATTGAAACAAAAATAAACAATAGTAGATAGTACAGGGAGATTCACTTGAAAGAGGCCCCGAATATTCTGCTGTAGCTCCCGTTAGGATGAAGCAATCTGAACCAAAAAATACTCTACATACTTTGATGTGTTTGTAATTGATTGCATTACATGTGACACTGGAGGTGATCTCTGTTTTCTGCCAGACACATGAAGGGGTACGGGGCTGTGCACCTGGAAGTTGCAAACGGAGGTTAAACGTCACAACGGCTGCCCGGCCCCTACCTCATCGCTCCGACGCAGGGGCATCCAGGCTTGTTTCAAGCTCCACATATTGCGGAGCTCATTGCACGTTGTTTCGTTCAGATTGCTTCATCCTAGAGAGAGTTATTACAGAATATTCGGGGCCTCTTTCGAGTGAATCTCCCTGTACGATGGTTATCATCATTTTTAACAGAGAAAATTCTCACATTTGTGGGTTTCTTTGATCTCTTGTGCTCCATCTTGCTGGCTTTTCTTTTTTTCTCATAACTCTCTGTTTGGAGTCTCTGAAAAACCTCCGTTTGGAGGGTCATGTAGCCCAAACACTTCACCCTCCCCCCCTCTATCTCAGCAAGAATCAGGACACCCTACCCCTAGACGTGAACATGCAAAACAGGGGGTAGGGCTGAGTGGCAGGGGCGAGGGGTGAAATGGGATTGGGTCTTAGTCTAGTTAGGATGTTTATGTAAGACTGTTTTCTTATCTGGAGTTAATGATTTCAGAGTTAGGAATAATAATAATAATAATTATAATAATAATAATAATAACAATAATAATAATAAGGTTGATTGAGCCATGCATTGGGTACTTGTTATATTGGCCTCTTAGCTGCAGTAAAAAACAAAAACAAACTTCAGACACAAAACATGTCTTTGGAATAAGGGAGGAAGCTGTTCACACCTTTGCTGAACTATCACTTTAAGGCTGTTTCTTCACACCTGCATTTCGCATTCACGTCACCTCTGAAGTGGTGGATGACTGTGAGAAACAATACAGGCATCACAGCTAATCTGGAGTTGTTTCCCCCAAACGCAGCCCTCTCTAACGCTTAAACGACGCGGTCGTGCCGAATCGATCGGCGGTGGGTGTCAATGCGGCATACATGCACCGAACAGGCAGCCTGCCAATAGAGCCGAAATCACCAGAGCTCTAACTGCAGCTAATCTATAATACATATAATGAGACAGAGTCGTCCCAGTGGAACCGTCTCCAGTACAGCAGGAGTGAATCATTACCGCCGCTCTTATACGGTGACCTTTATCAGATCACTCCGTCTGAATGTTTGGAGTGAGACTGTGTGACTGAGCTGAGTGAACGTGAACGCAGACTGAAGGCTGAGCGGTTCACCTGCAGGTGGCTGTACTGATCGTACAAATACACCTCGTCTCCGGTGTGCACGTTGAACACGGAGTGCAGACATGTGTACGGATTCGGATCCTGCTTAAACCTCTCCACCTGAGAGAGAGAGAGAGAGAGAGAGAGAGAGAGAGAGAGAGAGAGGGGGGGGGGTAGAGAGAGAGAGAGAGAGAGAGAGAGAGAGCGAGAGAGAGAGAGAGAGAGGGAGAGAGAGAGAGAGGGAGAGAGAGGAGAGAGAGAGAGAGAGAGAGAGAGAGAGAGAGAGAGAGAGAGGACCAAAGATATTTTAGGCTTTTCCTGTATACGATTTCATACATATTACAGTGTATTTACACATATAAACATGTTTAACAAACTACTTTATTCAAAAACCTGACAATCATTAACATTAAGCATTCAATTTATTGCTTGATAGCAGTTGTTGATTACAATATGCAGAGAGGGGGGAAAAAGAAAGAAATGAAGAAAAAAAAGGAAAGAGAAAGAAAGAAAGCAAGAAAGAAAGAAAGACAAAGAAAGACAGAAAGACAACAGAAAGGAAAAGTACAATTAAAGAGAGTGTGAGATAAACAATGGAGAGAGAGAAAGAGAAAGAGAGAGAGAGAGAAAATGGGGAGAGAGAGAAATAAAGAAAAACAAAGAAAGAAAGAAAGAAAGAAAGAAGGAATAGATGGAAGGTGACAGAGAGATTTAGGAGGGAGAAAATAAGGAGAGAGAGCAAAGAGAGAAGAGAGAGAAAAAAGAAAAAAAAAACAAAAGAAAGAAGAGATAGAAGGAGAGATAAAGAGAGAAAGAGAAGAAAGACAAAATGAGCAGGGGAAGAAAGAAAGAAAGAAAGAAAGAAAGACAGACAGACTTGTGGTGACGTGCTCATCTCATTAATGCTGAACGATATATACAGGTTTTAGCAACATATGCTGCCATCCAGACGACGTCTTTTTCAGGGAAGGCCTTGATTATCTCAGCAAGACGATGTCAAACCACATTCTGCACGTATTACAGCAGCATTGCTCCGTATTAAAAGAGTCCAGGGTACTAAACTGACCTGCCTGCAGTCCAGATCTGTCACCACTGAAAACATTTGGGATATTATGAAATGAACAATACAACAAATGAGACCCTGAACTGATGAGCAGCTGAAATCCTGTATCAAACAAGAACAGAAAAACATTTCACTTTTTTAAATGCTTACAGTATTTTGTTAAAAGAAGAGGTGATGAAACACAGTGGTAAACATGCCCCATCACAACTTTCTGAAAATGTGTTGCTGACATTAAATTCCATACAATAAAAATTCAATAAAATTGCTAGTTTTTTTGGAAATGGGGTTGTAGCACCAAAAAGGGTTCTTCTGTTATATACAAGCTTGACATCGTAACAACAGAAGAACTTTTTTTGGTGCTATATAGAACCATACACAACACATTCTCCATCAATGGACCATTTCACCACGCAAAGAACCATTTAAGCATGAAATGGATTTATATAGAACTCACTGTGAATCTTTGCGTAGAGAAATGAACTGTTCACAGTGGTGGTGATAGGAACCAGACGTCCACCTCTAAAAGCTCCCTCACAGAAAGTTACTACATTAAATGGTTATTATTAAGCTGCCAACAATGTCTGAGACTCTGTTTTAAGATCATTTTTAGAAGATTTTGGCTTAAATCTTATCTTTAAACCCCATTCACGGTGGAGGGATACATGCAGGGTGTTGTGAGGCCTTAAAGAAAACTTATTATTTCAGATTTTCCACTATTTCCCCATCATCAACATTCCATATAAACTCAGAGGACTCGTGTAGGTTCACTGGTGGTTCTGGATAGTAAATAAAACGCCTATATTTGTGTTGTAGTCATGGCGACCCCTGGTTCCCATCACCACCACTGTAAAGACATCTGGGTTGGTGGAATCATTTCTCATCAATCCTCTCTGAACATCAACGATTAACTTATGCAGAAGTTTTCAAAGAAATCAGAGGAATTCCACTTTGACAACATGCGTGACTGTCCATATGCAGTCCACGCAGGGCAAACTCTGCTTGCCTTCTGGCCGACCGCAGAATCGGCCAGCGCACCACAGACCCGGGTGAACTGGAGGCACCATTACAGCTGCTTATGCTGCAAAGTGTATTTATAGACACCACAGCCTCATCGGTTATGGCAGATTTAGCCATTCCAGACTCGTATGGACGTCCCGCGCGTCTTTCTCGGTTAAAGGCTCCTTAAATGAACCGGACAACTCCACAAATTTCCGCTGATGTTTCCCTCAACAGTTAATCAGAGTGCATTAGTGCATTGTGTTTTGCATCATGAAAATCTACTCGCTGAATCATCAACTCCCAGACGCAGACGCAGGACGGGTTTGTCCGTCCAGATTAGGCTTTAGTACTTGTCTAAAAAGATCATTTAATACTGAATTCCTGTTGGACAGAGTAAGAACATAGAGTTCAGGGTGAAACGTAATGAAAACGTAAATACGTGTAGGTTCACTGGTGTTTTTGGATCATAAATAAAACAGTTCACAGTGTTTCATTGTCTACGAACACAGTGCACAGTGCGCAGTGTTAGAATACAGCACATTTTGTAGTGTAAGGCTTTAGTGTACAGTGTAATACATTACACAGAATATCATACATTGTGTATAGTGTACCTATAGGGCAAACTGTAAGAATATAATGTGTAGGTTCATAATATAACAGTAAATAGAGTAAGAACATACAGCACGGTGTACAGTGAAAGGCTTCAGTGTATAGTGTAATTTATTGCACAGAATATAGAATATGATGTATAGTGTAAAAATATAGAGTGTATAGTGTACTAATAGTGTGTAGTGCATGAATATAGTGTGTAGTGTAAGAATATAAAGCCAGGTAGTACCATGTCAAAATACATGAGGGCCAAAATATTATTCACAAATAATTACGTTTTCAAAATATCAGCACACAGAATCAGAGCTTTCTGTAAGTTACTGTGTTTCCTATCACTGTATAAGAGATGCTTTTATTTGTTGGACTGTTCAGATCAATTTGGATCAGTAAGAAATTGTAACAAATGTTATATATATATATATAGTAATATATATAGTAATATATATATTATTTATTTATTTAGTGTATTCCTATTCAATTGTTTACTTATTTTAAAACATTTTGCGAGACAAACTAAATAAAAATTTACCTGTTTTAGGTTTTACTAGATATTGTCGTTTACATGACAACAAATTGGGAGCTTGCCTGTTCTCCCCGTGTCTGCGGGGGTTTCCTCCGGGTACTCCGGTTTCCTCCCACAGTCCAAAAACATGCAGTCAGGCCAATTGGACATGCTAAATTGCCCCTAGGTCTGAGTGAGTGTGTGAATGTGTATGTCTGTCTGTCTGCCCTGCGATGGACTGGCGACCTGTCCAGGGTGTATCCTGCCTTCCGCCCAATGACAGCTGGGATAGGCTCCAGCACCCCCCACCGCGACCCAGAAGGATAAGCGGTTTAGAAGATGTATGTATGTATGTATGTATGACAACAAAATGCAAAAACCAACATCTCTTTGTTAAACGAGAAGAGCTGATAAAACAGCCAAATTACTGTTCAGCCTTAACGGGTTAATATTTCCTGACCTGCTGAATAAGTCGGTGCTGTGAGCTTCGCGGAGCTGCAGCTGCTTTAGTCTCTCTCCTGAATATTTACTGTACTGTTCATGATTTGTTTCATGTCTATTGATATTAGATTCATTACAGTCTTTTGAAACATGAGGCTCACATATTTGCAGTGGCTCTCGACGGAAAAGTATTCAAACTTCCATCTCGCCGAAATCTCCGGTTCTCAGTGCTGAGTTTGAGCTTTAAGGCTGCAGACCGGACTAAATGTCATTCAGTCAATTAAGTTGCAGGTCCAGTCAGAGAAGAAAGGCTCTTAAACTTCGGTGCTAACTTATAACACACTCTTAAATGGAAGCCACAAGCCACTTAAAAGCTGTGCGCTGGCCGCATTTGGCCCTGGGGCCGGACTTTGGACACCCCTGGTATACAGTATGCAGTGTATAGTGTACAGTTTAAGAACATGGGGAACAGTATATGTAATAAAATATATAGTGTAAGAAAATATGTAGAGTAGGAACTTATTACATAAGAATATTGTACTATCTATCCTACGTACACTAAAGATGTCCGATACTGTATATAACATATGATGTATAGTGTAATATAGTGTATTATATAGTATAATACAGTGCATTATGTATAAGTATAATATAATGCACAGAGTAAGAAAATAGTGCATACTGTATACAATATAACTATAATATGTAACTAACAAATATGGTTCTTCAAGGGTTCTTCAGCAAAGAAAATGATTAAAGGGTTCTTTGCATTATGAAAGGTTCAGATTGATGAAGAATGTGCTATATACGGTTCCACCTAGGGCCTTTTTGAAAAGGACTCTACATTGCACCAAAAGGGGTTCTTGTCACAATAGCAGAACCCTTTTTGGTGCCATACAAAATCCTTTTCAAAAAGGGTTCTTTGAGTGTTCTTGATTCTTTATAGAACCATTGTCCTTACTAAAAAACCCTTGAAGAACCATTTTTTTAGGTGTGTAGGGTAAGAAAGTAGTGTATTACAGTGTGACAACACAGTGTGCTAGAATATAGAACATAGTACAATATACCGTAACGCCGGCGTTCCCTGTCTCCCCACATTATGCATATTTTCATGCTACCCTCATTTAGCACACCTGATTCAACTCAGTGACTGAGAAGCTCCTGGTGAGCTGGTCAGCTTCGTACAGGAGGGAGAACGTAAGACCACAGGGTCTCCAAGACTGACTTTCAGAGCCTCTGCTGCAGAGGACAGACACAATGCCTGGTTTATGGAGAGATAAAGAGAGCAGTAGGCCAGGCTGAAGGGGCTCAGTGACCACCACGCACCGCCGCTTAGATCTGTGCCGACCCTTCAAACGCCCTCCAGCATATTTAAAGTGTTAAAAATAAGTGGCCTATTTTTGCTCTCTCTGTCTTCTCTCTCTGTCTGTCACTCTCTCTCCCTCTCTCTCTCTGGGTCATGTAAGGCATCCCTCTGTCCCAGATACATCCTGCTCCACCTTTTTA